ATCGTTATGTTTAGTGAGGCGTTCGTCGTCGCCATTGTGATCATTTTGACAATCTTCATGCTCGTCGTGGTCCTCGGTTGTAACGATGGTTTCCATCCCACTCGTCGTTGTTGTTTGTGTTCTCTGTTTCTTCAGGACAAGGTGGTCCTGTTGATACAATTGAACCTGACCGTGCGAATGGCCAAGTGTGTTTGAACATTGAGGTGTGATGTGAGACGCGCACACACGAGCGAGTGAGAGAGAGAGAGAGAGGGAGAGGTCGTGAGACGAAGGAGAGGCAAAGATATACATACCTGGTCACTACGTTGGTCTGCATGGTGGATATCTGCATGGACTTCGACTGTTGATGTTGACGTTAACATGTGGCTTCGTTGGTCGTAGTGTTGTGAGAGTATCTGTGTAATCGTAGTATGGGCGCTGAACACCATTGAGAAGGGGAACTTAGCTCGGATTTGCAGTGGTGGTGAGTATATGCTTTCAGTAACAACCGAGTTTCGTTGCTTTCATTCTCCATTAGCGTCATATCAGTGCACTTCTACTTTTTGGCCATCTTCAACTGTGCATTTCTGCGTTCCAAGCAGCGCTTTCCTATCTAGTTTTCGTTGCGACTTTACAAACTGAAAATTTGCATTCGACCGTGAGCCAAGGGCCCGGGATCGGTGGGTCGTTCGTTCATACCATTGTTCGGGGATAGTGATGATTTTGCAACTTCAGGGCATAGGCACGGAGAGGAGCAGTCGCCGCTTGCGAGGTCTTTGTTGTGCGGCAGTGCTGTAACAGTGTTTATGATGTGTATTACATTGTGTCGTGCTGCAATGCATGTTATGTTTTGCTACGTAGTGCTGTGTTTTGTCTGCAATCCGAATAGATCATAGAGGGACTGCTCTATTTGAACATAACCGTTTTAGGATGCTTAGTTGCAGTTTGGTACAAACCGAGGCACTGTGGCGTTGGAGATGTGATCAAGAGTTGCATGGGGGTTAGTGTTGCGTTTCACCTGCAATTCGAATAGAGCACAGGGGTTGTGCTTAATTCGAACGTAGTATTTTTAGGTTACGTAGCCTCAATTTTGTTAGAGGTGAGGCACTGCGACTTGGAGACTTGTCAGGCGGTCGTTATTCTGCAGTTTGGTTGTGGTTTGACCATTTTCCTCATGTGGTTCAAGGTTTCAAGTCCCTCTCATGCAAGTCTGAGTTGAACCCCTTTGTATCTTGAGTGACTTAATGATTCTCCCTCTTCCCTTCTCACTCTCGGTCTGGTACGTTTTGGTTACGAGAGGAAAGCAACAGGAGGGATTGCAACCCGTAATCCGTGCTAAGACCTCTATGGCGGTTCGTTCCACCGATTGAGGGAGCTCTGCCGGAACCTAAGCGAGGTTTTGGAGGTAGGGAATTATCAGGTAACAAATTTTATCTTTGAATGTGTCTACGAAACACCCACTTTCACTCCTCTCTAATCTACATGCTGTGTATGCATGCACCCCTACAATTTTGTTTCTTTTCGTAATTCAATCAGATTAAATGAATAGAATATGCATAAATCTTAATTTTACTTTCTTTTATCTAAATCAGACAAAGGGACGGATTGGGGGAAGGTGGGAGGAAGGTGTTTTTGCATGCGCTTGAGCGGGACAACTAAAGGTTGAGCATTTGTTTTTAAGTAAAATGACTCAGTGATACATTTTTTTGCTTGTTTTGTTAAATACAAGACAATGTTTCTGAGCAGATGTTCTGGTTGTTATGTTTGTCTTTCTGATTTGGTGGGACAAAGCATTATTTCTAAGCAGAATGGCTTGGTCAACTTGTTTTCTTTTAGGGTTCCTGACTGAAATTGGACATTGTTATTAAGCAAAATAGTCAAACGTTATACTTTGTGTACCTTTAAGGTAGATTAAGGATTGTTTTTAAGTAGAATGACTTAGTCTCTTATTTTATTATGAGAGATATTTTTTGTGGAAAGTCTGACGTTGGTTCTAAGCATAATCGTTTAACCTGAAGCCAAACACTATGTGCAAATCGAATAGACACTAGAACTATATTTTTCTATTTATACTTACATGTGAAACTCAATATTGTTTCTAAGCAGAATGGTATAGCTTAAGTCATATCACTAAGAAGAGAAATGAAACTAAGAGTATAATTGAAAGTAAATTGAATGGATTGCACATTTTTATTAAACAAAATGATTCAACTCATATCCATATTAAAAACAAGTCAGAAAAAAATTTAATTTTTATCATTTAAACAGTTCCGGACGACTAGATATCGTTTCGAAGAAGAATGGTGTAATCACATGCCAAAAAAATAGAAAAATAGTTGTGCAACTTATTTGTGTGTAACTTAAGATATGATAAATATTGCTTCTAAGCAGAATGGTCTGCCATATGTAAATGGGTTAAAAAGTTAAATAATCTGAGGGACCAATGAACTACTATGTGAAATCAACTCTGAATTTTTGTGAGAAAACTTACCTTTGTTGTGTGTGTATGTTTGCTTGTGGGTGTAGTTTGAGTTGTCCTCTAATAGGTAGGTGCTTTAGATGCTCACCACGTCCTTGAGCCACATGAGTTAGTTAAATTTCCTCTTTTAAGAATCAAGTTGTTCTTACTTCATATTTAAGTTTGTAGAAGTTTTAGAAATTCATTTTAATAAACGAAGTGTTGCAATAATTTCTACAAATCCAAGGAGTTAGTCAAATTGTATTGTTGTAAATTTAACTTTTGTCTTAATCTTAGATATGGCTTATTATAAATTTTAGTAGCCTACTTTTTCTAGGGGAAGTGTTGCCGAAATGTTTACTGATTCAGAGAGTTAGATCAAATGTGACATTGTAAAAGTCTAAGTTATTTTTTAAGTTCATATTTAACTTTGTATAAATTTAAAAAAATCACTTTCATTAGATGACGTGTTGCCGAAATTTTTAAAAATCCACGAAATTATCAAAACTTTATCCTTGCACACTCAAATTTTTGTCTTAAGTTTTAATCCGACTTAGTATAAATCTTGGGAGTTGCTTCCCTAAAGAAAGTGTTGTCAATTGTTTTAACGAGTCAATGAATTAAAAACTAAATGTAACTTTGTGAAGTCAAAGTTCATTTTGGATCTTATATTTAGCGTTATATAAATTATGGAAAGAGACTTTCTTTAGAGGAAATGTTGCCGAATTGTTTCTAGTTTCAAAGAGTTAGTTTATTTTTTGAGTTAGGAAAACTTTCGCAATCCACCCTGTACGAGGAAGATGCTGTTGGTGTTTTTCTGATATTGATCAGAGATATAGTTAGTAAGGAATTGAGGCAAGATGTGATATAGGGTTTTATCCTAGGTTACCAATGGTCCGAGGGCCGGTCGTCTCCCCTGGACGTCTCCCCCATACGTCCGGTACCCCCGTCGTCCGGGATTTTTTTTTTTTTTTTCATAAAAAAAAATATATATATATTTTTTCGGTTTTTGATTTTTAAATCATGATTGACTGCGAATTTGAACATGACTCCAAGGCAAACGTTGCTTGTATTGTTATTTTACATAACATATATTGTTTTCACATTTTTCTGAGAAAATTGTTTTTTTTTTTTTTTTTTTTTTTTTGCGCTAGGTCGGACAACCCCTGTCCGATCGGACGCCCGACCAGACGTCCGGTTGGACATCCCGGACGGTCAGGGGGGTCCCGGACGTCCGATCCAACAACCTAGGTTTTATCTAAGTTGTTTATAATTTCCGGCCGGATTAAATAACCGGAATATCCGACCACTTTATCTGACATATGGTTTATCCGAAATTCGGGATATACTGGAAAATGCCTTGAAAAAATGATTTTTTTTTTTTTTTTTTTGCTCTGATATAGGACTGCCAAAGGTGGGAGTCTTTTGCAGAAAACATATTCAATATCCATTATAGTATCCCCCCTTCGAGTGGATAACGACTTTGGAGCGTCTCCAACACATGTCGAAGATGCTCGAAATGGTTATCTCCAAGGTTCGACTATACACGAAAATGTTATCCAAGGAGACCAGCACAAACCGGTCTAACATCGAACAACTTTGTTTTTCTGTTTCATTGAATGATTGATTGATTGATTGATTGATTGATTGATAGATTGGTTGATTGATTGATTGATTGGTTGATTGATTGATTTAGGGAAAAAAAATAAAAAGTGGGCTAGGGGGTTGGGCAACGGGTGAGAGGGGGTTGAGGCGAGACAATCTGCCTCTCACTCCCCTAACTCAGCGCACTCCCCCCCCCCCACTCCCCCCCTTTTGTCCTCCTCCGCCTCCCTGTCCTCTTCCTCCCTCCTACTCTCCTCCTCCTTCGCCTCTTCTTCCTCCTACTCCCTCTCGTCCTCCTCCTCCTCCTCCTCCTCCTCCTCTTCCTCCTCTTCCGCCTCTTCCTCACCCGCCCCCTCCTCTTCATCCCCCCCCTCTTCCACCTCCTCGTTTTCCACCTCCTCGTCCTCCTCTTCCTCTTTGTCATCCTCCACCGCCTCTTCGTCCTCCTCCTCCATCTCCTCCTCCTCTTCCTCTTCCTCCTCATTTTCCTCCTTGTCCTCTTCTTCTTCCTCCTCCTCCTCTTGTCCCTCCTCCTCCTCCTCCTCCTCCTTGTGAATCACATTTTCAAACTAAAATGCAGTTCCCTCATCCCTCGAATATAACACATCCCCTCCTAACCCTAAAGCTAGGTTGTATACGTTCAATCAATCAATCAATGAATCAATCAATGAATCAATCAATGAATCAATCAATGAATCAATCAATCAATCAATGTATCAATCAATGTATCGATCAATCAATCAATCAATCAATCAATCAATCAATCAATCAATCAATCAATCAATCAATCAATCGATCAATCAATCAATCAATTAATCAATCAATCAATCAATCAACCAGCTATTCACTCATTCAAGATCCGTCAAGTTCCGTCGAAATCGACGAATCTTGATTGATTGAAAAATAAAGAAATCTCGTTAGTCATTTCAGGCCCATGACTAATTCGACGACGAGGCATTTACTAGCTTCAGACTGTCATAGTCACTCCCACTGTTATAAAGATGAAGAGGACGAGGCTGAGGTGGAGGAGGAGGAGGAAGGGAGAGGCGATGGAGGAGGACGAAGAGAAGGAGGAGGTGGCGATGGAGGAGGAAGAAGAGGAGGAGGAGGTGGAAGAGGAGGAGGGGGAGGCGGTGGACAAGGAGGAGGAAAAGGAGCAAGCGATGGAGGGAGAAGAGGAGCACGACGAGGAGGAGGAGGAAGAGGAGGAGAAGAAGAAAAAGGCGATGGAGGAGGAGGAAGAGGAGGAAGAGGAGGAAGAGGAGAAGGAGGACCACGAGAGGAGGACAACTATGCTGGGGTAGCGGTTGACTCCCCTCACCTCCGCCTTTTTTGTGTTTTTTTTTTTCAATCAATCGGCTGGATCCCGTCCCCTCCGTTTTTTTTTGTTTTTTTTTTTCAATCAATCAATCAATCAATCAATCACTCGATCAATCACTCGATCAATCAATCAATCGATCAATCAACCAATCAATCAACCAGCTATTTGTTCATTCAAGATTTGTCCATAAAGTTCCGTCGAAAACGATGGATCTCGATTGATTGATTGATTGAAAAAAAAAACGAATCTCGTTAGTCATTTCAGGTCAGTGACTAATTAGATGACGAGGCATTTGCTATCTTCAGACTGTCATAGTTACCGTCGTTGTTATAAAGATGACGAGGACGAGGCTGAGGTAGAGGAGGAGGAGGAGGAAGGAAAAGGCGATGGAGGAGTATGAAGAGACGGCGGAGGAGGTGATGGAGGAAGAGGAGGAGGAGGAGGTGGAAGAGGAGGAAGAGGAAGAGGAGGGGGAGGCAGAGGACAAGGAGGAGGCAAGGAGCAGG